GCGTACGCTATTCTGTGTCAGCCGCGCTGCACGGGTGCGCTGTTTTCGTTCAAATCAAAGCGTAAATACACGTAGAAAACGTATTCTTGTGTCGCGGCTGACACAGAATAGTGTACGCTGCTTGCGTTCAGTGGATATTCTCCAAAATGGTGATGCGGAGAGTTTTTTTGTCTTGTTTTCAGCCAAAATATCTAAATTTAACAAGTAAAAATTATTGTTTTGTTTTCAGAAAAAACATGTCAAAATTAAGTGAGTTTTTGCCTGAAACAAGCTAAATAATATGCCAATGGGGTAAGCTAAATAATCTTGTTTTCTGTTTGAAATCAGATTATTTTGCTTACCCTATTGGCAGATTATTTTGCTTGTTCTAAGCAAAAACTTAATTTTGACTTGTTTTTTCTGAAAACAAGACAATAATTTGTACGTGTCTAGAAAATCCTTCTTGATTTAAGAATTTTTAAAATATTTTGGCTGAAAACAAGACAAAAAAACTAGGTAAGAAAAGCATTTTTTTGCAGTGCACACACGGGAAGAGCTTGAATGAAGCCCTTTGGCTCTAGATAAAATAAAATATATATTAGAGGATATAACACCGAAAGATCATTACAATAAACAACCTTGAGCGCTTGTGATGTGAACAGCTCAGTTGATTTGAAGCGTTGCTCACTTTATTTAGAAATGGTAAAATGATGCTGCCGTTGCCATTATGTCAAGCGGTCCGGTTGAAACCAAGCAGAGGTCCAGACCCAGACCGCGGTCCGCCATTTGAATATGAAGTGAAATATGAAATTGGTATATGATGAACCTAATCATTCAGTACCATTGTGGCCATTTGTGATGATTATACACAATGACATATATACAGTATTACTGTTCAAAATTTTGTGGTCAGCAAGATTTTTTAATGTTATAGTCTCTTGTCTCTAGTAAATACAATAATATTGTAAACTATTATTACAATATAAAATAAATGTTTTCTATTTTAGTATATTTTAAAATGTAATCTATTTCTGTAATGACAAAGCTGAATTTTCAGGAGCCATTACTCCAGGCTTTAGTGTCACATGATCCTTCAGAAATCATTCTAATATGCCGATTTGGTGCTTAAGAATAATTTCTTATTGTTATCAGTGTTGAAAACAATTATTGCTTAGTATTTCTGTGGAAACTGTGATTTTTTTTTCAGGACTCTGTGATAAATCTCACGACGAGGCGTTCCCCATAGCGACCCCTAGAGGACGCAGTTCGAAGTTCCCTTGAAAGGGAACTACATTTATTTGATATACAAATCTTTTGTAACATTATAAATGTCTTTATTATTCACTTTTGATCAATTTAATGCATTCTTGCTCAATAAAATAACATAGTAACATAACTTCTGAACTGGATCCTACAGACATTATTTCCCTGCAAATTAAAGGCATAGCCAGACAGCACATATCTTACCATAACCCCACAGCTGCAGGCACTGCTGTTCATGGGTCAGACACATGCCATTATAGCAGTAGGCACGGCCAAGCTGACACGATGACCCGTCCAGGAGGTAAACATTAGAGGGGCAGTAGGGAGAACCTCCCGTGCAGTATTCCGGCAGATCACAGGCACCGGCTGCTCCACGGCACATGGTGCCGGCCTGCTTCAGCTGTGGGCAGAGGGCATGGTAAGGAGACTGAAGGATTTTGATGAAAGAAAAAGAGAGCAGTTGGTGGGCAAACTACAGAGAAAAAGTGGATATTAAACTATGGCAGCCTGGTGCATCTCTAGAAAGCAAAAACACAGACAAGGCCTTCACTAGCAACTATTTTAAGCAACACATAAAATAAATAAATACAGTAACACTTTACAATTTACAATAAGGAGATAGCATCAGTTAATGCATTAACTAACACTAATTAACAATGAGCAATATATTTGTTACAGTATTTATTCATCTTTGTTAATGTTACTAAAAAAACAACTGTTCAAAGTGAATCATTGTTAGTGAATAATTAGTAAAACATCTACTGTAATACAATGAAATATGTTGATTACAAAAATGCAATTTCGTCAGAATACACAGGTAATTTGCAATGGTGTCAATGGGGAAAGATGTTTTTTGCGGCCAGGTGGTGTAGCTATGGCTTCTACCAGCAGGGGTTAACAGGGACAGGCTAACTCGCTAAGACTTGACCACTTGTATGAAACATACTAAGTGAGAGTCAGAACAGAGTGAGAGAGGGAAGCAGTGGGAGAGAAATAAATAAATAAATAGATAGACAAATAGACAGATAAATAGTTCGCCCAGTAACACTTTACAATTTACAATAAGGAGATAGCATCAGTTAATGCATTAACTAACACTAATTAACAATGAGCAATATATTTGTTACAGTATTTATTCATCTTTGTTAATGTTACTAAAAAAACAACTGTTCAAAGTGAATCATTGTTAGTGAATAATTAGTAAAACATCTACTGTAATACAATGAAATATGTTGATTACAAAAATGCAATTTCGTCAGAATACACAGGTAATTTGCAATGGTGTCAATGGGGAAAGATGTTTTTTGCGGCCAGGTGGTGTAGCTATGGCTTCTACCAGCAGGGGTTAACAGGGACAGGCTAACTCGCTAAGCCTTGACCACTTGTATGAAACATACTAAGTGAGAGTCAGAACAGAGTGAGAGAGGGAAGCAGTGGGAGAGAAATAAATAAATAAATAGATTTATTAATAAATAGTTCGACACCTTGCAGTCCTCACAGCAGACCCCGTGGGCACACTGAGCATCCATCTTCAAAGTGCAATTGCTGGGGTGGCAGCAATCATTGGTGCACTCCTGCGGGAGACAGAAAACACACACACACAAACACACAATTCCAATAAAGGCTACCAAAGCAAATCAACATATGGCCCTCAACATTTCATCTTTCAGTTTATAATTATAATAAACTGAAAGATGATATATATAATCATCTTATAACGAAATATAACTATATACTTCTGATTTATGAATTGAATCAAGAACATACATTATTAACACTTTTATAGCTGATTCAACAAATTCAACCAATCGGCATTTTCACAAAAAAACTTGACATTTAAATGGATATATTATACATATCTCATTAAATGAGAGAGAGCTGTGTAAACACAATATATATATATATATATATATATATATATATATATATGCATAATGAATGTACTGTACACACACACACACACACACACACACACACAGTGTCTGCTTGCATGCTATGATTAAAGTGTGGAAAATAAATTGAGAGGAGAAATTGCACAATTGGACGTTAGATGCATATAAAAATGTTTGACATGTATGACACTGATATATACAGCATGGAGGCGACGGCCAATGCAGAGCAAGCACAACACACATATACGCTCTGTTACACACACACACACACACACATACACACACACACACACACAATGTCTCTCTGTCTCACATAAACACACAGCAACCTCTATTCTGCTTGATATGGTTTCAGAGCATCAAGTGCGACTGACAGCTATGATTATCACACTAGAAATAAATAAATGGTGTTATTCAGTGACTATAATGAAAAAAGACATGCGTACATGACAGGCTTGCGCTGTGACTGTCTATCTATTTTTGTGTATTCATGGAAGTGGAGAGTGCTGGCAGATGATGGTTTGGATTAAAAGGTTAGAACAAAAGTGTATGATAACAGCTCCCAGTTCGTTGCTGCAACAACCTAGCTTTTTCTGTCAGGTGATCGCTGAGGTGTTGTTTCATTGAATATGGTATTGACAGCAGGTAAAATCCAGAATAGTAGTCCAGGTGTTTATGTATTGACTAGGAGTTACAGACGCTACCTCATTCTTCCTGCACCAGATGGCAAATCACCCAGCCATTATATGCACACTGACAGCCTGTCAAACACGGCTTTGCAGCAAGGTGGGACGCTCCCCTTTCTTTCTCTCTACACACATACAGGCATGCAAGCAAACATAAAATGCATACGCTTTCATCTGTCACTCTTTGTTACGGCACCATTTTTCTGCTGTAGTTCAACTATTTATGTTCTAACATTTATGTTTGGACCTTCCATGTGGTAAAAACAAATCTTTTTGCTGGTTAGACAAAGCTCTTCACAATAAAAAAATATAAAAAATACATTGCATAAATATATCAGGTATTTCTTTAATAAATAATACTCGCATAAAAATGGTAATCAATGGTAATCCATATTAACTATCAAATTTTGACTTATTGCATATATATTTCATAGCCACTACTGTTCTCGGAAAAATGACTAATTCATGATTGGTCTGATTCAGTATTCTCTAAATCAATAAGTAATTCCATTCAATAATTCATTTAGGCACAAATCACCTCTGGTTCTCCACAGTCACACTCCTCCCCTTCCTCTACAAAGCCGTTTCCACACCTCTTGCCACCGACCAGATCCTTCATGTTGGGCATGTTGAACAGGCACATTCCTCCTCCCTTCTGGAAGTAGTTGTCCAAGTCTTTTTTGCTACAGCGGCTGAAAACTTTTGGAAAGGGGTGCCTGTAGACCATTTTAGAAAGGGATATATGTTATTTTTATGCATGAAAATGACTGAAAACAAAAGGTGCACTAATAGAAATAAGTATAAAAACTTCCAATTTGTTAAACATCTACAGTCAGCCGTAGACACTGAGGCAGATGCACTTGAACATCGGTTTATAATGAATCCAGTAAAACAATTATAATTAAAACATGGTCTTGATATAAAATGAAAAGAGGAATAGTGAAGTTTCCAAAACTGTTTTTCACCTTTTTATACCTTGGACAAGTAAAAAAACACCTTCCTCCTCTCTATGCCAAGTGATATCCTCTGATTTTCTGTCTTACCTTTCCTCTACTGCAGGGGCACCAAAACCAAGGGGTCACTTAACCCACTTCATCTCAATCAAGTTTCAAACCAGTTAACTCTACTAAAACCACTATCCTTGCCATAAATGATGTGCTTATGTCAGCCACTTTTAATCTCATGCTAGCAGCTGTTTTTTATCCAGAAAAAGTTCTTTATGGCTCTTGTCTGGTTTATGTATTAGTTCTTACCCAGTTACCTGGAAAACTGCTGCACCCTTAACACTGTTCCACAGGGATCAGTGATGGGCACCCTGCTGTTCTCCATTTATACCAGATCTCTCGGAACATTTTTCCAATTGCATGGCACATCATGTTCCCCCTTCTTTCTATAAATCAGTATTTTCAGAATGGATCTGAGCATACCTTTGTGACATGCATCTCTCTTCTAGAATATACAAATACGGGTGAAATTTTGCCCCTAAGACTATCATGCAATGCCATCATGGATGGCGCCATATCAAACTTAATGTACAAGATGTTCATGGTATCTTGTTTACTTGCTACTTTCTCAGGCATCACACAAACAACTGTTTCTTAGATTTTCTAGAAGCCAGATTGCAGCTGGTGATTTCAGCCAGCGTTAGGCAGTTTTGTGTGCAATATACAATTCTGTACTGAATCAGCAGCCATTACTGCAGTCTTCAGTGTCACACTATCCTTCAGAAATCATTTTAATATGCTGATTTGGTTCTCAAGAAACATTTATTATTATTATCTATGTTAAAAACAGTTGTGTTGCTTAATATTTTTGTGAATATGTTGATGCATTTTTTAAGGATTACTTGAGGTCAAAAGAACAGCATTTAATTGAAATAGAAATATTTTGAAACATGCTAAATACAAGTATTAATTTCATTCAAGAAAAATAAATCAATCTTACTGACCCCAAACATTTGAATGGTAGTGTACATCAGATGTTCAGTGAATGGTCTGCAGGTGTGCAATCTGAAGTGAGATTAATCATGCTTGACTCATCCTTAGGGACTTATCATTAGCAACTAAGTATGTACTTGTACAGTAGCATCCTGTCTATGCATTAGTTTAGTAATGACACAATTAGAAGTAAAAATTATTTGAAAGTGCCCAGTTCTTTGCGTAATTAGCATACTTTTGCAATTACCGTGATTTATGTTCTGCATTGTTGGTTATTTATAAAAGGAAGCTAAAAGCTTCAATGTAATGCAAATGTAGAAGCCTTTACCCTGTAGCTGCCGCCATGACACATCCACCCTGCTCCGCTGTGGCCTCCACGCAACAGCCCTCATGGTCGTGGCTCATGCCAATGTTATGACCGATCTCATGTGCCATGGTGGCAGCCGCCCCAATGGGCAATTCAGAATGATCCTGGAAGAAAAGATCATTTAATCTACCAGCCATAACAAACATCACACTAAATGAAATGGAAGCTCAAGCACTGCTTTAAGAGTCTGTCTAAAATGATGAATTCAATATACAGGATTAGAGTATTTGCCGCTCTCACTGCCATGCAATAAATTAATTGTATTTTATGCTTTAAATTGGACATAAAGGCTATTTGTAGCCCACAGGCTTCTGTCGTTGCTATGCCACGTTGCCACAGTTCCAACACTACAGTTTGTAAATGGCAGTAGAAGCCCAGAGGACATCTCTGATCCCCAAAGGCATCTTTGTTATGTTACAATGATGCCATAAATTGTAGAAGATGATGTTTTTTGACCTGGAGGTGGTAATTTAAGTACCTTGGCTGGGGCTAACAGAATGGACTTTCTTTTATCTTCATACCGTGACACAAACATAAAGGCGCACACACTCACACATATTTCCAGAGAAAGGAGCACAAATGGATATCTCTGCAAGGGCATGCAGTGTTGCTTTTTACAGACGGCACTGATAATATCTCCACCATAACAACGTTGAAATATGACATGCAGTTGTATTACAAATGATTTCTCTTTATGGATTTTCTATCTCTTAAATTTCTCCCTAGGAACCACATTGTCCTTGTCATATACTAGTTCTAAAGCATTTGAGGAATGTGAAAGAGCTCATTTATGTCAAGGGATGCTTTCTCAAACCATAGTCCAGGACAAGACCACACATGTCCAACAGGAAGTCTACTGGACATTCACTCACTATAAAAATGTTGGTAATTAAAAAAAATGCTACAGTAAAAACCTGTAATTGGTTAACTGTAAATTACCTTAAAAATATACGTTTTATAATCACATTATTTAACTTTACTGTAAATGTATGGTTACTGTGATTGATTAACATGTAATTACAAGGAAAACAGTAAAATGATATCCTAGAAGTCCCTGTGTGACACTGATTATATTTAATTTAAATTATAAATACATGTTATATAATTTATATAATTTCATCCTCTCAGATGGTCAAAATCATTTTTTTCCCTTCTCACCAAAGTCACTTTACAAGCACACAACATTGCTATTTTCAACCCTAACATGAGAGGATCTTGATAAATAACTAGCTGTTGACTGCAGTTCCACTCACACAGCACATACCATACCAAACAAATTCACTCAAAATATGATTGTGACTTCTGAATAGTGTTGGTAATAAAGGTTCGTTGACGACGATATTTAGTCATAATTTTCGTTGACGAAAGCAACAAGGATAATTAACTCCACACACCTCAACAAAATGACAATTAATTCAATGAAGGGGAACGGTGCAAGAGGAAAACAAAGTTCAAACTGAATGACATTGTGACAGATCCCTGGCGACATGTGCGTTGTTGTCGGCTCACACACCTGGTCAGATGCGTCAATCGGCTCAGGCTCCAGGGCGATGGCAGGCTCAGTCGCTTCTTCTCGCGATGGATCTTCAGTCGGGGTGGGCTCTGGTTCTCCGTCTGTGGTGGGCTCAGACAGGTGCTCCGTTCAGCGACGTGGTGACTGGCTGGGCACCGGGTTGGGAGTGGGGCTGGCGTCTTCATCTGCGAGGCCGACGGTGAAGGAAGATCCACAGGAGCTTAGCACCCACTCCACATTAGCGGCGAAGCTCCCTCGAGGACCCTCCCCGGACAACTGCACTTGTTTTGCGGTGTCCAGGCCGGCGTGCAGGAACGTGCACAGGCAGTCATCCGGGAAGGTGGTCTGATGGGCGAGACCGAGGAATTCCTCAACATGCTCCTCGAGGGAGCGGTTTCCCTGCTCAAGGCAGAGCAGGTGGACAGCGGCAAAGTGATCCAATAACGGGAAAAAATTAACAAAAGAAACACTGAATTAAACAAAAAAACTAAACAAATGGACATCGCTTTACTTTCATTTTTGAGGGTCCGGTCTTCTGTCACAACTGTGCTGCTAACAAAAGCACGAAGATGAAGAAGAAGGCAGATGCTGACGAGACCGGATAAACTAGAACTGAACACACAGGAACTTGAATACACCGGCCAAACAAGGATAATTAACTACACACACCTGAACAAAATTACACAATTAAGCAGGCTATAGACTAAGCAGGCTATATTGATGTAATGTAGAATGACCCCATCCATGTGTAATATCCAGACGAAAAGCTTGACCACTCATTAGTATTCTGCAAAGTGATCCTCTTCCGCCACACAAAGTAATAGAACCAATAAGAGGCTAATCAGGTGTGTCGGAGCTATTGATCACTTTATCAAATCCCTGCATGAGCTGTACACAAACACACACACTATATACACAGTGTTTACAGCCTGTTCCAGATGCAAGCCTGCATGCTTTCTTACCACGTTGATGCCTCCTGAGTTCTCATGACTGCACATGCCCTCCAGCGGAGCCATGCCAATGGTGGTGCCCTTGAAAATCACACCACTGCAGGGAAAACAATATAAACTTTCAGCTATGATTTCAATAAAAATGTATATCCCTTTAAAGGGATTTGGTCAACAAAATTGAAATTTCTTTCATCATTTACGAAATTTACTGAATTTCTTTGTACTGCAGAACACAAAATAAGATATTCTGAAGAATGTTGGTAACTGTTACACCAAATACACAAAATAATTATCTTTAAAATAGCATCATATGACCCCTTTAAGTGGCAATTGTATTAAATCACACATATTGAATTTACTATCAAATAATTGTTTGTGCACATACATTTTTTTTACAAACTGACTACAAAAGTTCAAAGACTGTATGCAACAATATTGTAACAATGTTTTTATTTTCACTGCTTGCCATCACTACTGTTCTTCATATTTGTTTGCATTTTAACTGATGGGTCTAATTTACTTGAAAAACTGCTTTGGCACAGTAATCACAAAAGTGACAGCTAGCACTTTACAGTAACCAAGCAGTAAATAAAATGTGAGTGAAACAGTAAAATAAGCAGAAGAACAGAATGTTCATATAAGTCATCTTCCTTGGGAACCAGAGGAAAATAAAAGTGCGACTTGATAAATGTTCATAAGCAATCAAAATGAAAGCTCCGCATTAAAAAATGAGTCTCGTCAGGAACACTTTTGTATGCCTACTAGCTATAGGGATAGTTGGAAATTTAATGAATCTGGGATATTTAAAGACTCAAAGGTACACAGGGACATACTGTACTACAGTATATATGAACCTCAAAATTCAGGAACTTTGTAATCCAATTGTACCAGGAATACATCATTACCGAGGAGGAAGCACATTAGTCCAAACTGTTTATTAATTTATGGACCCTCTAATTCTCATTTGTAAACAGCAGCCAGTTAGAAGTCTCTACTGCTCGGCTTTAATGAGAAAGCAAGTGCAAGCAGAACAATAGCAGTAGGAGGGCTCCCAACTCCTGCTAATGATCCTCAAGAGTTTTGTAATAAGCCCACATTATGCACTTCATCAGTCTGAACACTTAACCTGGGCTTAAGATGGCTTTATTTCTGTACTGTAATGAGCCAAAACACACTTTTCTTTCTGCAGCACATTATGGGGACAAACGAAATTACTGACGCACAATGCAACACAACAGCTTTGCGTCAGACCTCCATAATATTTTTTTTGTAAGTGGCCTATCTAGTCATTATAGATTGGAGGGAACAGAACATCTTTGCTTTTGTGAGAGAGAAATTTCTTCTGACATACACAATCTACTCATGTGATCAGAAATAGAGACTTAGACACACTGAATAATGATGGTAATGACTGACTGTTCTTTCCCCAATGACTATTATGCTTACAATCTAGTGAGAGCTGCTTTACAAAATTAGATTTTTTGTCATCTGTGGCAAGGACATTGCATGACATCTATTTCAGTGAAATATACTGTAAAAATCAACATTTATTACCAAGTCTCTTCATTTTATGAGATATTAAATGATGACATGGAAGACACCATAAATGAAAATTTCATTTCTGACTGACCCTTTGATGCAAAGGTTTAAGGTGACCACTGAACAGGCTGATGTGTCCAGTCTGATGGCTGTGTCCACAGGTGCCGGTTTTGATCGGCAGGTCTTCAGTGCGATAGAAAGTGTGGTGGAGAACCTCCTGGCCTCTGATTGGCTCCAGGTAGTATGTATCATTTGAGTTCAAGCCAATCAAACCTCTGCAGAAGGAAATGGGAGTAATGTCAGCTCAAATGCTCTCTTGTTAAAGTTCTGTCAATTGTCAATCATTTACTCACCCTCATGTGGTTCCAAACCTGTATGATTTTATTTCTTAATAAATAAAGATATTTTGGACCCCAAATAACATTGGACCATTGGACCCCATTGACTTTCATTGTATGGGCAAAAAACCCAGAAAGTCATATGGGTTTGGAACAACATGAAGTTGAGTAAATGATGGCAGAATTTTTGGTGAACTATTCCGGTAAGGGTGTTTTTTACTAGTACTATTTAAGAATGCCAGTAAAAGAGATGTGCATATCTATGAGTTCATTTTCATTTGATCTTTATCTCACAAACATATATATAGACACACAGAGTAGAATTTGAATGCCTCGTGATTCTTCTTTTAGCCTCAGTATAGTTAACAGCATTAAGTAGATATATATTAACTAATCAGAGGGATCAGAAGGGCCGCTGAAATGCTGCTCGATTTGAGATCTCCCAGAGCACCTCTACAGCACACTCTAAATTTGACCTCTGTAAAAAGTTTTCAATCAGTACATTTGAAAAATATATTAAAAATAAAGTCCATGAGACGGCAGGGTGACCCATTTGCCATTTCAGATTTCAGATTGGTGTTCTCGAGTCGCCCCCTTTGTGCCTATGATGTGTCCTCAATATGCATTTTTTTGTCGAGTCTGCAATGATGTGAGTTCCACAGTGGCAATCAAGTCTATGCAGCACTATGGCAAGGACTTGGGGCTAAATTTGGGACAAGGTCTTCAACCCTGTTCCTGGGGACCCACTGTCCTGCAGATTTTAGCAACAACCCTAATCAAACACACCTAAAGCAGCTAATCAAGCTCCTCGAGACTGCTTGAAAATACACAGGTGTGTTGATGCAGGTTGGAAATAAACTTCGCAGGACAGTGGGTCCCCAGGAGCAGGGTTGAAGACCTCTGCTTTAGAGTTTGATTTACTTGTGTATACTACCACTCAAAGGTTTGGGGTTAGTGCGATTTTTATTTATTTATTTGAATGAAATCAATACTTTTATTCATCAAGGACACAATAATTGATCAAATGTGACAATAAACACTTTTATAGTGTTATATATTTGGTTATATATTTAAAAATGTTATGTATTATAATAACAAAACCATTTGTTTATGCCCCAGGGCATCCAATTATTATCTTCAAAATGAGGATTGTCATTTTCCCCAAGTTGACAACAGGCAAGCAGAAATGACTCAGGGTATGGCTTTATAATAGTTCCTGACACCAAAACTGCAAATATGGCCGTGATTTGATTTGCCTTGGCATAAATGTAATGATATTTTTGAAATAATAAATAATAAAATAAATATTTAATAAGAAAAATAAAACAATCAACTACATTACTGTCAAATTTTTAAATGGACTGATGCCTCTATTAACTGTAGACTATGTCACACATCAGCACATAACCTCCATTGAGCTGAGGGTAAGGAAACACAAAAGTCGTCTTGAGAAACGCCATATGAAAACATACAGTGCTAATTACGTTTGCTCTTGCAAAATCTTGCAACAGCTGTTCAATGACTTGATCTGTCTTCATAAGAAATTCAAGACCTTTGGCAATATCTAGAGACAGACTCTCCAGGGCTTTGTCCTTAAAAACAGTTATTTTCATATAACTGGCTAATCAACTCAATATAAACTCTGTATGTCAAAAGAATGACTGCTCTCAGAGAGTACATGTGTGCACTGAATGATCAGCAATGTTTTTAAATGTTTTTAACTGTTTTTTTTTTTTCTCTCTGCAGCCTCTTCCCTGATACTACTTCATAACTTTCATTATCACAAAAAAAAATATTATCTGATGATCAGTAGTTCATGTACAATCAAAAATGGATATTCACTACCATTCAATAGTTTGGGCTCTGTAACATTTTGTAATGATTTGAAAGAATTCTCTTTTGCTCACCAATGCTGTATTCATTATATCAAAAATACAGTAAAAACAGTAATATCATCACAATTTATTGTATTATATTTTTTCCTGTGATGGCAAAACTCAGTTTTCATGATTCTTTGATGAAAAGAAATTTCAAATGAACACTTTTTTTTTACATTTTATAACACTTTTTTAAAATAACATTATAAATGTCTTCAACATGTCCTTGCTGAATAAAAATATTAATTTCAATTTCTTTGGGGGAAAAAAGATCTTACTGACCTCAGACTTTTGACAGGTCTATATGAAGTGTGTATTGAATGTGCATTAACTAAAGTTAAAAAACTAATGGCTATATAATGTAGCAATGACTATTCATGACATAACTATAATAAAGAATACTATATTAAACATATTATCTTACCCATGACTCATTGTCAAAACCCTCCAGTAACATAAATGTGTAGTAAAATAAAAATAATCCTTTATTTAATACCATGACAAAACCTTAAACTTATAAAACATGCTTATAAACTTATAAAACATTCGCTTGTGTATGTTGCAAAGACACAGAACTTTGGTTTGTATCTCTAGGCATTAGCTTTAAATTAAGCAGCAACAGACAGGGGCAGATGCAGTTTCAAGGTTGTTTGCGGATATTGTTTATAAGTAGAGAGAAAGCTTTCAGTGCTGAATGAGGACTGAGCACAACAAACTATTAACATTCTGGTAGGGCCACAGCATTAGTCATCAGTGCTTATATTCAACAACCTGGCCAAAACATTTCTCCTCTTCACAAATTAAGCACACAGAATTGTGCTGCATATGCAAAATTATAGTTGGCCGACTTTTTGCAAAGCACAAATGAAGAGTATCATCTAGATTTACTTTCTCTCTATGGAACATTTTGTACTTTCATACATCCATGCAAACCCATGAACAAATACTTGCTCACAACATCTTATTCACGCAACTAACTGAAAAAAGCAAAAACAGTCATACAATATAATACCCACAGGGTGCTCATACAATCAAGCAGTGTACATCCTTATCACACTAAGCTGCGTGGCATTTTAGCCTTCCTAAGACATGTGACCGAATGAAATGAGCGTATTGTGTCTGAAGAGAATCCAATTACACAAGACATGACATACCTCATTCCCAAACATGTGCTCAGAGCGACCCAAGATTCAGCATGACCTCTGACCCTCCCGTGATAGAAGCAATGATCCTGGAGATGGAAGAAGAGAAAGAGATTACTGGAGGCAGGGCAAATAAAAAACGAGATAAGAGGGAGCAGTTTGCTCAAGAGACAGGCTGCGGAGTTAATGTTGTTCATAAAATGGGCAAAACCCAGTTAATGGAACATCTATCTAATTAGTAGTAAAAAGACTACATCTGTAAACCACCATTACATTTGTTACATTTTTGGCTTTCAGGTTTATTGGACTTAATCAGTCTGCCTCTTTTTGATTTAAGCTCCAAAAAACTTCAGGAGTTTACAGTTAACATTTGGAAAATAATTGCTCCATTTCACTCTACTGAAACAGATCCAAACTACGTATAAGTGATATTCTTTCAGCTATTCAAAAGGCTTATATGAACGGTCAGACCGTGAAATTAGTTCATTTATTTAAGCAGACAGGAAGCAAAAGAGGGATGGTCAAGCACCACAGACACAAATCAACAGTCTCCAAAGACAACGCTTGACAATCCCTGCTTCCAAAATATATCTACTTCTCTACTAGTACCCGGATGACCTACTACCAGGGCCGTGCACAGGGGGGTGGCCCGGTGGCTAGAGACACTGCCCCTTTGCCCTCATCGGCTGAGTTGCCCCTCTCACCAGTCCCCCCATCACCCCAGCTCAAGCGGTCTGTTACCGCTCCGCTAAAGATCCGCCGATTCCGCTAATCCGCTCCGCGTTTTCCCGCCCGCTCCGCAGCATCACTCACGATCTGTGCCCGCTCTCTGGAGTGGAGACCACAGTTCCCAATGTCGTTGCATTAACAGGTGGATGCATTACAATCCACATTACAGTCAGTGGATGATTCGCTGAATTAGTAATTTGGTAGTTTGTTTTTGTATTTCTGTCGGTAATGATTTGCTCTCGGTCTTCTAAAATAACAACAAAATATCCACGTTTTTAAAATTAGAATGTCTAATCAAATGATTGTTCCCGATCAGATCTAATTTAAATAACACAAAATTCGCTGTTGTTGGCACACTTTGTAGACAAAAAAAAAATGCCTTCACAAAAAAAGAAGACAGAGACAGAGAGGAAAAGAGCGAAGCGAGGCTGCTAAAGGCAGTTCAACATTGCAAACATGGATTCAAAGCTCCAGCAAGTCAGCAGGTAAATCATCATATAGAATATTTAGCAGTTTGTCACACTTTAATTCTTGTAATTAAGTATATTTTATGTATCATAAATATTTTTAGACCTGGATAAATTTGCTTTGATGTAACAACCATATCATCTGCTATGCTAAAATTTTACTTTAACAAGCCAAAACAAGTTTTTAAAGCAAATGGGTGCCTTCCACTCCTCTCATGTGTTTCTCCTTTTCACAGTCTGGCATAAATGTCAAGTACATTAATAGGCCTTCTCATGTTCTCACATGTGAGAAAGACAGAGATAGCACAAGATTGATAGCTGACTGTAAAAACTGAACTAAACATTGCCGTTATTTTGCAGTATTTTATGCAGTAAAAATTACTGTATTACAGTAAGTAGAATATAAAAAAATCTGAGTACCAAGAGTATACATTTTTACATTGCTAAAGTAAAATGCGTTACAGTAATTAAACTTTTGAGGGGAAATGTGTTTAACTGTCATGACGATGTCACAATGCAAAAAGTCATCATTGATTTATAGTATGTCAAATTTTATTATTTTTTTTACTTTGGGATAAAATATGACTGCTATTTGTTTTGTGAGATACACTCCTAAACAAATTATTTATAAATTAGGGCTATCAATCTTTTAGTTTTTTTTGTTTGTTTTTTTCATTTAACTGCTCATGGCACATGGCTCATTACATGATATACTCATTAAATAATTTAATGTCTTAGAATAGTGATAATTCTAAGTTAATGCTAAACAAATGAGTTTAATTGACATGCTAAAATAACATTTAGGTTTTTAACATTCTGTTGTAAAAATATAAATCAAGCTTTACATGTCAAGCAACACAATGAAACTGAAATATGAGAACTGAGAAAAGCAGAGACATAGAGGAACAAAGACACACACAATGCGTTACAGTAATTAAACTTTTGAGGGGAAATGTGTTTAACTGTCATGACGATGTCACAATGCAAAAAGTCATCACTGATTTATAGTACGTCAAATTGTATTAATTTTTTTACTTTGGGATAAAATATGACTGTTATTTGTTTTGTGAGATACACTCCTAAACAAATTATTTATAAATTAGGGCTATCAATCTTTTAGTTTTTTTTGTTTGTTTTTTTCATTTAACTGCTCATGGCACATGGCTCATTACATGATATACTCATTAAATAATGTAATGTCTTAGAATAGTGATCACACACACACGCGCGCACACACACACACACACGCACACACACACACACACACACAGAGGTCTCAGTCCTGCTTACAGTGTGACTGCTGGTTTGGGTGACAGGGAGGCCATTCTCGTAGTGAGTTTCAGTGAAGTCGTGACCCAGGAGCTCCCTAAGAGAGACAAAATGAAAAAACAAGCTGTCACTGTGATATCACTACACACACATACACATTTGGCGGAGGTTTATGCCATTTCAACAGCAATACTTTGCCTTTTCAAGCAATGTTTTGCACATTGAGATACAGAGAAAAGATGTTTCTATACGTGTTACAGGGTTGAACTAACTACACAATCATAATGCACAGGATGAAAAATGGATATTCATTTTAAGTTTGCTAAATATTATATTTAACAGTGTTTCAAATAAGTTGTGTTTACTGTAAGTGAGCATTAAAAAACAACAAAGTAATCTAAATGTAAAACTCCAAAATGTAATATTCAATATAGGATGATACACTACCATTCAAACGTTTAAGTTCAGTAAGAGCTTTTCTGAATACTTTTATTCAAGCAAGGACGAAACTAATTTATCAAAAGTGACAGTACATTTATGTTGTTACAACAGGTTTCTATTTAAAATCAATGTTGTTCTTTCTACTCATCAGAGAACCTTAAAAAATGGTTTCAACAAAAACATGGAGCAGCACAACTGAAATTTAATTACGATTTTTTTTGGAGCACCAAATCAGCAAATTAGAATAATTTCTATATATAGACTGTCTATATATATTTCTATGTATAGACTGATTCCAATACATTCTAGTCTACAGAAACCAATATGGTATTGATAAATCATATAGCTATTACACATGTTTGTTCACGTGAACATCATTTTAATCACAGACTCTCTGAATCACTAAAAATGATGCTCCCATTCAGATGGCAGATGGCATTTTCCTGTAAAAGCCTCACATGATTCAAAGCACTGGCTCAATGAGAGAAAATAAAAACATATGATCTCAACTAGCCATCAGTCCTGCTCTATTCCATCATTCCTTCAAGAAGTGAATCTTTCTTCATCATGCTGTCCTCTATCGGGAAATACCAGGCTGATAAGAGGCCAGGCTTTAGCTGGAGTGTTATTGTGTGGCTTTGGAAAGGGCTGGGGGTCAGAGCCATGATCTTGTCAGAGAGGGAGGCTATGATTAGAGCAAAGGGTGTGCAGGATGTGAGGACTGATTCTGTAATCTAGTCTATCCATCAGGACATGCACACATAACAACACTCACACAAACCCACATGCAGAGAGCCACTACAACATTTATAACCATAAAGTCAAGTCGTTACATTTTGTGTGCCACTGGCTCTCTGATTATGGAGCATGACTGCAGTCCACAGCACATGCAGCATTTCCTCAACCAAACGATGAAGTGTGTTATTTCATTGCCACTAGAGTCACTGAAACAGAATTGCAAAAATAATGACTTTAAAGCATACATTCTATAACACACTCCCTGTCTGCATTTGATTAGACCAACCCGAGCTCATAAAAAAAAAAAAGTAATTATTTTAATACAGGTATGAATTGCCATGAGAGTATGTTTGTCAGACTTGCGCCACAAACACACACCACTGGTTGAGCCAAAGTCGGATGCTGTTTACACTTTTAGGAAAATGGATCACTTATAGCTGTCTCTGCACGTTAAAATACTCCCAGAATTTTAACATGATTCCAATTTGTTCCAAAGAAGTTCCAATTTGTCAGACAAATAGAATGAAATGTGTATATTAATGGAATTAAAGTTATAGATTGTACTACATGTTAGCTTGTTTATTTTGCTCCAGTGCATGATCCATACTAACAGGAAACTATGGTCGAGAGCTGTAATTCCATTTACACAACTTTGCAATGCTGTTTGCAACTCTTTAGAAATATGGATTCGGGAAACACCAATTAGTTGCTCTATGTTGGTATTGACAGAACTAATAGTTGGCTAACTATGCTTTTGGGAAACGGCTATATTGTCCAAAACCCATAAGTAGACAAGTCAAACTGCTCAAACTTGAAAGCACCACAGTGCAATGTATTCACATTTGAATGAGTTAAATGGCACGTACAGCTTACAGTAAATTATCGCTGCATAAACTAAGAAAGTCTCTGGATACTGAAATGAAAAATACACTTCAACATTGACACACAACTCACTTCAGAGACTAAACAATTATGGTGTTTAATGCCCTTCTCTTTTCCACTTTTGAATTAGTGTTCTAATAGAAGTAAGTGATACTTTTCAGGCCACTTATATGACAGGCAACCTATATAGAAGCTATAGTGAGAGCATAGAGACTAACCTTAAGAAACATCTGTGTGAAAGACATTCTTTGATCTCAATGTAATATCCCTTTGTGAATGCTTTTTGGGGTGAAGCTCTAACATGGCAATTCCATCAAAACAGAAGAGGTGAGTCATTAGGACCACAATTTTGCAAAGAGCTGCTGAGGAGCGAGGAATACGCTAGGAAATGAAAAAAAAAAATCTTGAAACATGCAGCGAATCAGAGCGATGACCTTTCGCATCTGACAAGAATGAAATGATGGCACATTTTCAATCTAAAGTTGGTGTAGAGAACGTCGCTGAGACGGAGGAGACTGTTGTGTGTGTATGCGTGTATCCATAACATTTCAATGAGAGAACACAGCTGGCAGTATGATTTGTGTATTATTAATGAGAGAGCACCATTATCTGCGCATTCATAAATTACCTCTATGATTTTCACATTTTATGAGACCCCGATTCCCCAAACTCCAGCTATAATAACTCTACAAGGATTGAAAAGTGCTTCATAAATGCCACAAACCCTCAATGTGCTGAACTTCTCCTTTGGTCCATCACCCTGTACTTAAAATTACCACCATTTAAAAGGTAAACACGTTTTACAGCATAGTGAGAAATGCACTCTCTTTCTGTATTACAATCAACAAACAAAACAAACCTACCTATTAGCAAAGCTCACATCCACACATAAACACTAACCACTCAAGCAAATCACTGCTCTGAGCTACACACTCATTACCTCTTCTGCGCTCAGCCACACTGACACAGTGGCAAACATCTGTTGTGGGGGAAAAAGACAGAGAAGTTAATATGATCAACAAGGCATGAGTCATTGTTTTAGTTTATGCTGGGAACTACAACGTACGTGCTGATCTAACACCTATTTTAACCAGCCAAATGCTGATCCTAGCTGTTAAAAGAACCTGCAGGCTAAAACCCTCTGACATTTACAGCTCACTTAGGCCTTGCATGTCAATACGTCAGTGTTTTTTTGTGCAATTGTGTTCAAATAACTTTCATGGACAGATTTACTTTGATGTTTAAATCTCCAGAATAAAATTATGTTGTTCCTTTTAGACAGGTAAGCTTTGTTACTCTGAGCATTATGTGCAATAAGCACCAATTTTTGTGTTTGCCAGACGTATTCAGTTTAGCATGCGAGTCAATGGACAGTAATGTTTGTATATCTGAGTTAAAGAAATGTTGTGGGCTTAAAACAACTTAAGCACTGGAGGTAATTAAATTTAAAGTTGTTTAAATCATGATTTCTTGAACTGGGAACACTCTTCTAGGTGGATGAACTTCTTGTTATGCATTTCCTACATAAATCCTGTCAGTGAAGTTTGCTCTATGTAAACAGTGCTTTACCATTAGTCACAGTATGTCAACTCGTCTTGACAACAAAATTGAAAGATTAGATATAATTTTACACAAAGTCAGTAGGCAAATCTTTTTTTTACTTGTCTCATAACAACACAATGTTTCGTGAATTTTGAATCAGGGTGAAACCATAATCTGTGATTTTTTTTTCTGTGATAATTTACATTAAAGGTTTAGTTCACTTCTAGAATAAAAAAATTCCTGATAATTTACTCACCCACATGTCATCCAAGATGTTCATGTCTTTCTGTCTTCAGTCGCAAAGAAATTAAGGTCTTTGAGGAAAACATTCCAGGATTTTTCTCCAAATAATTGTGGCCAACGGGTTGAAGGTCCAAATTGCAGTTTCAATGCAGCTTCGAAGGGCTCTACATGATCCCAAAATGTATATACTTTTTAACCACAAATGCACGTCTTACACTAGTTCTGCGATGCGCATCCAAAAATTCACGCATGACGTAATCACGTTGGAAAGGTCACACGCGGTTAGTTCTTCATCTGTGTACTCCGGCGAAAAACTCCATCTCATTTTCTCCTCCAACTTCAAACTTGCCCAACATCGTTGTTTTACCTCTTTTTGTAAAAGGCATTATACTTTCTTTGCATGTTCGCTTTGTAAACACTGGGTTGGTATTAGGGGTGTGAACCTACACTGGTCTCACGGTTCGGTTCGATTACGATCATCATGTCATCGATTCGGTTCAATTCGATATCACGATGCATCACAATGCATTGACGATGCACTGCATCCTCAATTTTCAATTTTACTTCACATGTATACAATTTTGTCAATAAATACAAGCAGTCAGATATATGAACTGTACCTGACATGGTTTCTCAAGTTAGTGGTATTACCCCCTCCATATTTTATTGTGCGTGACATGATTTACACACAGCGTGTGTCTTCTCCAGGTCGTGCTTACCAGGCTGTTCATAAAAGCCAAAATGTGCCCAGATGTCGGCTTTTAAAGTAGTTGGAGCATTTTTAATTACTCGCACTCACGTCTTGCCTCCCACCACCATTAGGCGCATTCGGTTTGAAGCGGCGCTGCGCAGAGTGATCAGTGTATGACATCAACCGCGAGAGCGATTCGAAAGTGAGGATCCATCTGCTCTCTTATCGCTCTCGCGGTACTTGATGTCACACACTGATCATTCTGCGCAGCAGCGCTTCAAACCGAATGCGCCTAATGTATGCTACCGCGACAAAGCACGTATGCGACAAATGATGTCAGAAAAGCGTCAGTATGTTATAATCGGTTATGGTCTATTACTGAACCGATACCGAATCGTCCTCGTCTGCATCGCGATGCATTGTAGAAACTATTAATTTCGAGACCCCTAGTTGGTATTTCCGCCTACGTCACACGTGACCTTTCCAATGTGACTACGTAATGTGTGAAGACGAGCTAGTGCAAGACGAACATTTGTCGTTAAAAAGTATATAAATTTTTT